TTTAGATTTTATTACAACCACTATTTGGCATCTATTATTATATTAATGATTATTATGATCATAAATTATTACAATAATATAAAACTTGTCTTTTATTTATTGTATATTTTTAGACGTTGACAGCATTGCTTAATTCAAAAAAATATATATTTTGATATACTTTATTTAAAATAACTGTCCCAAAATGAGAACCAAATCCTCTTTATTCAAATGCAGTTGATAACACAAGTATGCAGCCTGATTCAAAGTACAATATCGTTTGAGAGGAGAACAGGGACATGATAAGAAGATTAAGACTGTGGTCCTCCTGTATCTGTAGCCGACATGGCCTTCAGAGCCTAAATCCACCAGCAACTCCCTCTCTTCAAACCACACACATACTGCAATATAAAAATAAGCTGTACGAATTCAAGCTGATACTTGCTTTCCCCCCCCCAACGCACTGTTTGAAGTGTGCAAAGATTCACTTTGACTTTTTCAGCTGACGACTGTAGGAGGATCAGTGAGGGAGAAAGGCATTTGTTGAGGAGGATGAGGTAGTTGAGGAGGACCTTCTCTCAGATGTAGGCCTCTCCTGTTGTACCACATTCTCGGCATGTAAAACGTCACCAAAAACTGCTTTGACTCTTAGAAAAAAAGAGAAAGAAAAGCTAATAAGATTTCCATTCATTTAAACTTATCAAAATTCCCACTAGAGCCCGGGGAGCTTTCTTTCTCGCAACCCTCCTTTCTTTCATCCATGGTTAAATATGTAAATAAAATGTCTAAAGTCATTCTTCAAAGGGGAACAAAAGAAAAAAAAAGTTTGGGGCTGAGAGAGGGGGGAGGCAGCCCTAAAATGCCTTCCTTTCTCTATAACATTAGCCAGAGGGGGGCCAGCTTCTAGACAGAGAGGAACAGCAGGGGAGCTCACAGGCTCCATAGAATCACACATCTCCCCAATCCCTCACACACAAAAAACATGAAATATCCTTTCAGTCTGAGCCATCAAAGGGCCTCCCTTCTCTTTATTAGTTACAGAATTATCTCACACTTTCTGATTTCCACCAAGATGGAACCCAGCGAGCTGCTGCTGCTGCTGTGCTTTGGAAGAGATAAAGTTCATGCGTGTGTGTGTGTGTGTGTGTGTGTGTGTGCGTATGTGAGTGGGTGGGTGTGTGGGTGTGTGGGTATAAAGGATAACTGTAGAACGGAGCAAGTATGAAACGGTGAGGGTGGTGGATGTTAGACGCTGAAATAAACAAACACAAAACATGAAAGGGAAAGTAGGAGCTGCCAAGGCTACTGATGATAAAGATAGAATGGTCATGATTCTCCGCTCTGTTCTTCTGCCGTTCTTCAAAGCGATATCCTCATGGATTTATCTTGATATCCTCAATCACTGAGCAAAAATGTGTAAAAAAAAATGGGAACAAATCAGCTGAGGCTGAATGTGCAACGGCACGGGTATCCCATTTAAATTATGTCTTGGTATTACATGTATGTTTTAAAAGCGTCAATCAGTGAGCTAATGAGGCCGTCTGTGTGCTGCATACAGCGCTCTGATATGTTACACATCCTGAAAGGCTTCATTATTAGCAAAGGCGTTGAAAAGGTGTTTACATATCAAAGCAAGGGAAAATGATGATATGTATGTACATGTGATCATCATTATTAACAACACCAGGGTTAAACGATATGTCAAACAGGCATTTATTGAATGAAATATCCTTTTATTAAACCGGCCTAACCTTGTTTACTGGTGTTAATTTGTCTTCCCGTATTGTCAGACTGGTCTGTTGGCTGGTTTTAGGGAGGTTTTGGGCTCTTTGACTAAGGTTAGAGACCAGCTTAAACCACAAAACCTACTCAGGCTATTTTCAGCAGGGATGTAGGCTGAGTTTGCCTATAATAGTGTAAGGTCAAACTGTTAGGTAAGAATACAATTTGTAAGGTCATGTAAACAACTCAAATTGGGTATATTTTACATTTGGCAGACAGTTTATTGCATAGCAGCATATATTTGCAGTTCATGGTATACATTTTATCAGTTCCCTGGGAATCAAACCCATGACCTTAGTTATGATATGTCATGGCAAAATTATGTTTTTCCATAACTCTCAAAATAATTTACCAAATTTAAAAATTTGAGGCAGCAACTTAAATTGAATTAGGTGGATAGAGCAATGCTCTGTCGTTTATGCTAAAGAATACCAGGTGAATGTCATAAACCTTTTAAACAAAACCTGTTTGACAGACTGTTTATATTTTGACATCCAAATGAAACAAAAACGATTTCAAAATCATATATAAATGTGTTTTCTTGAGTTATCAGGTTGTATAATGTGCTGATTTTACCAAAACAACTTGCAGAAGACGAGTAATTTATAATACAGTACTGCAATACCAAATTTCATGAATCATTTGAACCAATTTGATTGAAATTACTGACCAAGATGACCAATTTGCATACTAAGTAGTGCTCGGTATGGCTTTGAGTGTATTATATTAAGTTTGTTAACATCTATGAGGGACATCAATAGTGATTAAAGTGCCTGAGACTATCTCAGTAAACTGTCTCACCCAACTCACAGTAGGATGGGCTTAGTTTCATTTCTGAACGTTAAAAAGCACTTTACAAGCTGTCATAAAAAAAGCTCTTAGAGTGTTCTGACAAAGATCTCCAGAAAACCGCATGGTCATCAGGTGTTGCAAAGATAAATCATGGTTTTACTGGGTAACATGAGAGCGCACTAAGCTATCTGGTATCTCTTGCTCCATGAGGCCCTGTGCCTTCTTCATAGCTGCCACATGAGATTTACCAACAACAGCTAGCTCATGCAAAGATAATTTTCACCATCTTTTTGAGCTGATGTAGCTGTAACATGAAGTACACGTCTTTTTCAATATCACTGTTGAGTGTTTTATATTACTGAAAACAGTCAACAGAGCATTAACCCTCATCCCTACTTACATAGTGACAGTTGAACTCTGACATGTCACCTCGACAATGCCAATACTTTAACGCAGTGTGCTATGAGAGCTGGCATGCATACAAGCCCTTGAGGACTGTGCCATGGATACAGCCCTGAGAGCTAGGCTAAGACGAGGCCCTGGCTTGCCAGCCCTTAGCGCCAGCATGAGTCAAAGATGAATCCACTAAAACAAGACTGAAAAGCTCTTTGTCTAAGAATTCATCCTTAAGGCATTTTTATCCTGTACTCATGCAAGTATTTACGATTGATAGCAAAGGGTGAAGAATGGAAACTGCCATAGCAGAAGTTAAGAATGTATTTTATGTCATTACACACTAGGGTTGCCAACCGTCCCGTATTTTGGGCCTAATTGATTTGTCCCGTATGTGACTTCCCTTGTCCCGTTTTTTGACTGCTACGCTGATCTAACCACTGACTGATACAACAGCAGCAGTACTGATCACTTGAGAATGATCACCGACACATGTCATCATCCAATCACAGCCCCCCTCATGCAGTATACGTTAAGTAAATCAGAAATCGTGAACATAAATGTTCGAGGAAGGCTGTGCAATCCTCTGCCGCTCGCGCTAACGCCAATTCCGTCCGTGTTTTCACTTCAGTAAATCAGTTTTAGTGAATACAAACTACGTGATTATTTTCATGAGTCCAACATCCCGCCGCGCAAGAGACGTGATCAGTAAGGGAAGTCGTCTTTCACTATTGTAATGTTAAATAGAGAAAAACATTTAATATTTAAGTAACTAGCATAATTCTTACCTTGGACCTTATTCTTGAAAGGCAAAATGACCAATAAAAAGGTGTCAAGCACCAAAAGCAGCCCATATTAAATCTATAAGCTGTCTTTAATTGAAAAATACGCATTTTCATGCATAGGCCTACTATATGTGTGTGTGTGTGTACAAATTTAATGGTGTGCCACCATTCTAAAATAAACTCCGTAGGGAACGACATAAATTAACAGGTCTAAACGCCAGCCATCAATCACTTTGATGAAAGTGATATTGACAAATGTTTTTGATCATAAACTATGACAATTCTCTTTTTTATTAATAACATCTCAAAAGTCACATGGTTTCACTTTGTCATTCAGATGCATGGGGTGAGAGTTAAGACACATTTTAGTTCAGTCAACAATAAAAAAAGCGAGGGGAATTTCAAGGAATAAAAACTCTCTCTTCACTCTCTCTTCCCACAATGGTCGGAGCGTGAAAATCGTCAGTTGTAGAGGAAAAAGGGGACACATCTTGACTGGAAAGCCACTGAATCCTTTTGGTCGTCCTCGGCGAGAGATTTCTCTCTGACTTGCACCGAAAAGTGTACCGTAAACCATAAGAGGGATTTCGTATGGGGTAAAAAAAAAAACAACAACAACAACAAATGGCCAGTGAGTAATTTACTGTGATCTTGTGGTAAAACGGTGACGAGGATTTGAGGTCTACACAGCCAGTTCCGCACGGTTTAAGGATAATCGGTGTGTCAGTTTGGGCTTTCTTATGTAAAGCAGCTGTCTTTGAAGGCGGATCTTTTGGCAGGTTAGTTCAGGACGGTGGCGGAGGAGCTCAGACACAGACCGCGCGCGAGGCAGAGAACAACTCTTGACGGAGAAACGGAGTGTCTGGAGACGAGCTGAAGTGAATATTCACACGCTTACCGAGCGGATTCATTTCAGATTCATTTTCAGATGACTGCGATAAAACGACGCCGTAACTTCAGTTTGGTCAGTTTGGATACACTTTGCGGAGGATGAATGTGGAAAGTAACGCGAGAGGAAGTTGAAAAGTAAGTATACTTTCGTGAGGGAAACAGACCGTCAACATTATCTCACAGGAGAGGACCATAAGAGCTTTAGAAGAAGGAATTATCATCTGTGGACTGGGAATTGAACATAAATTGTGTAAACCTCACTGTATGGTTAAAGCTTTCTAACACTTATCTATCTAAAGATTTTTTTTTTTTTTTTGACAGATAATTACTTTTGAGCTGAACTGATTGTTTGGAATCTGAGTTACTGACTCCGTTTGATTGATTCACAAAGGAAAACAAGTTTTCTTTTCTACTAATTCATCCTCACCTCTCTTTGGGATACAATAACTTTTTTAGTCAACCAGCTAAAATTATAAAGAGCGACAATGAAGCAACTTTTCAAGTAAAAATACAGAGCTTTTTTTGAAAGACAATCATTGCTACATGAATTAATATTGAAAGACAATGTTTGCTGCCACTTTTGGACTCAGCCTTGTGCTGCTGTGCATGGCCGGGTTTTCTTCCGCTATCAGTTCCATCGACCCGGACCGGCCAGGTGAAGGAAGATGCCAGGAGATCGCCATTCCACTCTGTAAGGACATTGGCTACAACTTGACAGTTATGCCGAACTTAATGGGACATGAAGATCAAAGTGAGGCGGCCATAAAGCTGCATGAGTTTGCTCCGCTGATTGAGTTCGGCTGCCACAGTCATCTGAAGTTTTTCTTGTGCTCGCTCTATGCTCCCATGTGCACGGAGCAGGTATCCACACCCATCCCAGCATGCCGAGTAATGTGTGAGCAGGCAAGGCAGAAGTGTTCTCCCATCATGGAGCAGTTTAACTTCCACTGGCCTGAGTCACTGGACTGTTCCAGACTGCCAAATAAAAATGACCCCAATTACCTCTGTATGGAGGCGCCCAACAACGGCACCGACGAGCCCCCGAAAGGCTCCCATACTCAGCCGCCAGACTCCCGACCCCCTCGGCCAGGTAACAGCCAAGAACTGCCGATAAAGGAGAGGGTCGGTAAGACGACATGCAGCAACCCTGGAAAGTTTCATTACGTTCAGAAGAGCGAGTCCTGTGCCCCCAAGTGTTACTCAAACGTCGACGTGTACTGGAGCCAGGGCGACAAGCGCTTCTCCATGGTGTGGATTGCCATCTGGTCCATCCTGTGCTTCATCTCCAGTGCCTTTACCGTCCTCACCTTCCTCATCGATCCACAGCGCTTCAAGTACCCCGAGCGGCCAATCATCTTCTTGTCCATGTCTTACTGCGTTTACTCGGTGGGCTTTCTTATAAGACTTTTTGTGGGGGTGGAAAACGTGGCCTGTGACCGTGACAGTGGCGTTCAGTACATCATCCAGGAAGGCTTGGAAAGCACTGGCTGCACTATAGTCTTCCTCATTCTTTACTACTTCGGAATGGCCAGTTCCCTGTGGTGGGTCATTCTTACTCTCACGTGGTTCCTCGCAGCTGGAAAAAAATGGGGTCATGAGGCCATTGAAGCCAACAGCAGCTACTTTCATCTAACGGCATGGGCCATACCAGCAATTAAGACCATCATGATCCTGGTTATGAGGAAGGTAGCGGGCGACGAGCTCACAGGGGTCTGTTATGTGGGCAGCATGGATGTCAAAGCCTTGACAGGTTTTGTTCTTATTCCCCTCTCTTGCTACCTCATTATTGGCACTTCCTTTCTGCTGTCAGGGTTTGTGGCACTCTTTCACATCCGTAAGGTCATGAAGACCGAAGGAGAGAATACGGATAAGCTGGAGAAGCTGATGGTTAGGATCGGCGTCTTCTCTGTGCTTTACACGGTCCCTGCCACTTGCGTCATCGCCTGCTATTTTTACGAGCGTCTCAACATGGATTATTGGAAGATTCTAGCAGGAGAGCAGAAGTGCACTGAGGACAGTAAGAGTGGCGAGGAGTGTGTGATGAAGAGCTCCATCCCAGCTGTGGAGATCTTCATGGTTAAGATTTTTATGTTGCTGGTGGTGGGCATCACCAGCGGCATGTGGATCTGGACCTCCAAAACGCTGCAATCATGGCAGAATATTTTCAGCCGCAAACTTAAAAAGAAGACGAGGAGGAAGGCAGCATGTGTTTTCACAGGAAGTGGACCTTACCTCAAGCCTCATCCTGCACTGAAAGGACATAAAACCAAGTACGAACCGGCAGGTCCTCCTGCTACCTGTGTATGAGCTGGGCCTCTATACACAAACAAATGGCCAAGAAATTAAGTAAATGCTGGACTTAAATTAACTGCTTTCTAAAGAGACAAGCCAGCAAAGGACACAACAATGCTCGTATTTATATTATGCAAACTTCAGATGCAGCGTCCCCAACAGGTTTTTTTAGTTCTTGATGCTTGTACTACATCTGAAACTTTGCATAGTTTGGGAACAGTTTTGTGAAACAAATAAAAAGTGAGCAAATCCATATTGCTGTCATTTGGATGCCTGTATCATGTCATGTGCAATAGTTGTTTCCCTTAGTGACAGAGAGAAAGGGACTGTAGGGCTGTAATTAAAGACAATGAAAGGACTCGACAAACAATGGGTGTGAATGGCTCGGGGAAAAGCGGCTCCTCCGTGGCGTAGTCGTGTGGCTTTTCTATGGAAATGAAGGCCGTGTCAACTGCACAACTGCACTGACATTGGAGTGCAGCTGCTCAATAAGGCCTCGGCAGAGAATGAACTGCCTATTTTTAGGCCTTTTCATGGAACAAAGTAAATCTTTAAGCACTAAATATTGCCAACACAAAGAGAGAAACTTGTTATTTGAGTTGTTTTGTACAGTCAGTTCATGCTCTCTGGTTTGTTTTGTTATACCAAGCTCTTTTTAATGTCCTACATACATTTGTGTATATTTCTAAAGGTTCATATTTTATAAGAATAAATAAAACATTTTAGATTTAAATGTTTGAAATGAAAAAGCAAACGCTTTTATTATTTGTGTTGAGTTTGAAAAGTTTTTCTCTATGACTTTCTTTTTTCTACAGAACACAAAAGAAGTCCATACAATGACAGTCAGTGGGGTTCACGACAATACTGAACCCAGACTTACATTGTATGGAGAAAAAAAAAAACACTAAGACATTTTTCAAAATATCTTTGTGTTAGAATAAAGAAATGTCATACATGTTTGAAACAACATGATGATGAGTAAAGGATGGCAGAATTTACATTTTAAGGTGAATTATTCCTTTAAGTTTGCAGACGCTTAATCCTTTGGGTTAACATTGGAGGATGAGCAGCATGTACTCGTCAATAGTGATAATCTTCCCATGTTCCTATTTATTTTACAAATATCATAAGACAGGAAATACTGATTTTATATCCAACCTCAGGCCTCAGCTTCATGCCTGATTTGGGCTTTGGCTTTTATATTTGTGAGTAGAGCAGGGTTAGTTAGAACACTCACATTCAGACCTGTGATTCCCACAATGGCTATTGAGAAATAGTAGATCAACGAGTTGCGGTGTAAATTGGCATATATATATATATATATATATATATATATATATATATATATGAACTTTAATGACATCAAAGATTTCGTCATGGGACTTTCGTTTGAAGGACCTTTTTCACTTTTTAAAATGCCCTGGCTTTCATATTCCTATCTTATTAAAATTAACCTATTCACTTTTATGTTTCATTGATAAACAATGCTAAAGCAGAGGCTTTAACGTTTGTTTTGTTTTGGTCTCCAGGTTTTGCTTTTTTTTTTATCTCGGTTATATTTGTAACATCAAATTGGGTCATTTTTGAAGTGTTGCCTTTGATTTAAGAGTGCCTTTTTCACTGTTGCAGAGTGGATCGCTAAAAAGTCTGTTACCAACAATCACACATTAATGTTCTCTGTGCTTAAATCTTTTTAAACTTAATACTAAACTTTTGAAACCACATCAACAGTGGAGACATCAAGTGAAGACTTGAAATCTCAGGTTTTATTTGTACATCTATCTGTCTATCTATCTATCTATCTATCTATCTATCTATCTGTCTGTCTGTCTGTCTGTCTAGTTTGAATATCTTTTTATGCCTCCTTAGCACATCAAAGTGTACTCATAATTTTATGGTGTTAATACCTTAATACTGGGTTGACCTGAGAAACTCAGGTTCACAGTACACACAGTGAGCCTTAAGGTTGTTTGTCTAATACAGAAGGATATTTTAACATTACGCCCTTTAGTAATCTAATGACATCTGTCATTAGCTTGAATCCATAGAGCACATTTGTTTAGACAGGTGAGGCTGACCTTCAGGCGTTACACGGTTAGATGAAAACCATAACATGCAACAAAAAAGGAAAGTACATTTCTCCCATTACATGCCCTACCATGTCTTATAAGCTTCTGTTTTTCCTGATGTATGTTTTTGATTTGGTTTAAAATTATTTGTGTTAGGAAATGAGAAATGTCTTTTAAAAATCAAATGCTTATAAAATGATCACATTACTTAATTTGTAAAAAGCTGTTTATTTTCCCTAGAAATGCACACACCTAGATTCATTATCAGATGTGTTTTGATCTGTTTTCTTACTTAATGTGCTTGTTTTGTAAATAAATGTACTCTGAGTATTCATTTGGTATTTTAAGTTCAACTTCATGTTGACTTTGATCTGAAATGTTCATACAGGAAACGCAAAAATAGAAACTTATGCTTGAGGTGTTTTTACTAATCTATTTCAAATAATTATTGTAAACCAACTCATTCATTCTACCTTCTTCAAAGACAAAATGAAATACATATATATACTGTATATATCCAAGTATTAACTGTGACGGTGAATCAAAGAAAATATTTCCATGTAGTTTTTGTAAAAAATTTTAAAGCACACTAAGCCCAAATACAACAACCAGCAAGTGGCGAATGGCAAAGATTTATTAGGTCGTCATCTATTACATTTTCAGTCATTAAGAGATTAAAGATTTAAGATTTCTATTGAACTGGTTGATAGCCTCTGAAAATCTTTATAATTGTTGCTTTATATCTTTAGAGAAACTATCTTTCTGATAGTGTTTTTAGACTGCTCTTTGATCCATCATCATTATTCATTCTCTTTCAGAATGCACACAAAATAAATAAGTTTGTTATTATTTTGGAGTTTTCAGCAATTTGGCAACTAACATCAACAATATAATGCCCAGACAGTGGCATGAGTTTCACTTGAAGGTTTCAAAAAAAAGAAATCCGGTGCACTACTTTTGCAACATTACAAATTTTGTTAACAAAGTTTCAGTCAACTGACTTTCCTCAGGCCTACAACACATGCAAAAAATATTAGCAAATTTAAAAACAGTACTTACCGCTGTTAATAGTTACACCTCCAAAAAATATATAATTATATATATATATATACTGTATATATATATATATATTCATTTCACAAACTATGCCATTTTGACTTTTAACTTTGATAAGCTTCATTAAAAGTTTGGCATGCTTGAGTTATGAGAACCTTGTAGAGGTTAATGCTTTATTTTCTGCCATTTCATTTCATACTAAACTATTTTTAACAATGACTATGTATCTGGATATCACTGAATTGTCATAATGTCAGTCCAAAGAAATGCGGCAACAGTTCTTTTAAAGAGATCCAATATGCACTTATTACACTGCCTTGACAGCCATGTGATTAAACCAGTACTGCTGCATTACTATGTGTGTGACTTCTGGCAAACGCAATTGAAGTTCCAGAAAAAGTCACACACTGGGGTGAAAATTAAGGGAAAGCACATGAAACTCACTTTGTAGGATCTGCTATACCTGTATTTTGTCCTAAACTCCTAAAGTAAAATGAGTTTTGTTTCAAAACAATCAAGCGGATAAAACAGTTAGCAGATACACATGTACATACAGGTGTGAGCATTGTGTGATTGAAAGAAAAAAGGTTAAAGAGGCAAAAAAAAAAAAAAAAAAGGCCTCGCGAACAAACGTGCCGCTTTCTTGTTTTCATCTGAGAGCCTTTTGGAGAAAAGTGGCCCTTTGCAATTATCAGTTGTGAGACTCATTATAGAAGAATCTGGAACAATGGCAACACTCCCATCTGCCCTGCAGCAGGGGCACTTTCCTTCCCTCTTCATTCCTGTATTCTTTCTCACATTTTCAGTCAAATATCATAAGCGGCCACCTGCAATCAAACACCTTAGAGCGGTATAAAGCCACAGACAGATAGAGAATAAGATTATAGAGATAAGATCTTCTATAAAAACAAACAGCAGAGATGTGTGTGTATTTACGTCTGTGTCTATGTGCTTGATGTGTGTTTGTGATAGCGAGTGTGTGAGCGAGGCAACGCAGGGGTGTATGTGTGTGTTTGCATGTCTTAAATTGCCCTTTGATGTCTGCACCTCATGGTAGAGGTGGAGGACTTCTTGGGGAAAAGTAAACAACAAGTGACACTTTTGTAAACACTCAGATCACATTGAAACTGAGTACAACCACCCAGGTCAACCTGAAGAGTCTATTTTTACCTTGCATTTTAATGTTTATTGCATACTTTAGAGCTGTTTTTTTTTCTCTTAGAATAAGTTCTGTGTCTCAGAAATGATGTGGAATGTGGAATATTAGAACTGGAAAGTGGAATATTGATATTCAGAGCGTGACAGAAAGACTAAAACCACACACAATCTGGGAAAACAAATCATAGTTAAGACATTTAAATGAATAGTTCACTCAAAAATGAAAATTCTGTCATTATTTACTCACCCTTATGTCATTTCAAACCCATATGTTTCTTTTTCTCTGGAACAGAAATGAGAAAGATGAAGGGCTGTGAATCACTACAACTGGAAAATTTAATCAGTGAGTTGAACGGAACTGAATCAGTCTCAATGAATCTCCAATGAATCATTAAGACCAGTTTTGTAAATTTGATAAAACAATTAATTGAAACGATTAGACTCAAATCATTGTTTAAATCAGACATTACTTATTTCTTATGCCAACTTAATAAATTAGTGAATCATTCAGATCGGTTTTGTGAATTTTGCATATACACACACACACATACTTGCATTTGTGGTTTATGGGGGCTCTCCATAGGGGTAATGGTTTTTATACTGTAACTGTATTTTCTATCGCCCTACACCAACTCTACACCTAAACCTACCCCTTACAGAAAACTACTGGCAATTTTTGAATTTCATAAAACTTTTGTTCGGCATTTTTTAAGCCTTTTGTTTTACGGGGACACAGGAAGTGTCCTCATAAACCATGTTTACGTTGATATACCCATGTCATTATACACATTCGTGTCCTCATAAACAATATATAACAGTACACACACACACACACACACTTTTCTCTTTTAAAATTTTTCAGTTTAGT